AAAATTGATACTAAAAGAACTTTATAAAGTGTTAACTAGAAAAGCTAAATTCCTAGAAGCCAAGAAAAGAGTCACATCCAAGTTCTAATTATATACCAGTGAGCTGGTAAGACGACTGTATGCTTCTTTCCGATCCATGTAGAACTTTTGTTGCAAAGTGTTGGATTGATGCTGCTTTACATGATTTATTAGTTTTCTCTATTGATTCTTAGCTCCTCAGTTCCAACAATGAAGTAGCATTTATCCGCCTTTGAATACTGCTTTCGTGCTGGGAGTCCCTCAAAAATAATTACATCTTGATCTTTTTGACTCAAAACAACTGTCCTCAAAGAGGAGTTTTTTTTATCACATTTTTTGCTGTTAGATAAAGTTCCTTTTTATGACTCTAATGAGTCATTTTGAAATTCATTTAACTCAGCTTCAGGGGTATTGTTGGAGGTTTCCACTGATCCACAGTCCTTTGAATCACACATATTTTGTGCAGCAAATTACACATATTGAGTGCAGCAAAGATGTGAAAACTCAAATATTTGATAACTGGCCGGGTCTTGGTAAGGTGGTTTATTTGTCTAAAATAAGCGACGCTATGATTTTCTCCTTTGCTTCACATGTCAAATACTACATCGTGAAATACTTTTATCGTGAAATTGACAAGATATGTCTCTTCTTGCTTCAACATAGGTCTCGTCTTGCTTCAACTTCTTAAACAACCAAGATTCTCATCAATGTACTGCGTTCCATGGGAGAGAAACTTGTCGTGTGTTCAACGTGATTCATGAGTGAGAAACTTGGTAGTGTATTCAACGCACTACCTAACGAAGTTCTCCGTGTTATCAGTGTTGACTGCTCCAATGAGTCAGTGTCGACTGATCAACTACCATCATAATTACCATAACGCATCATCTTTCATGCAATCGAGCACAAGCTGACATGGTAATTCTTGATGAGCTTACGGAATACGCTCAGTTCCGTCTAATTCAATTACAACTAAATCCTATTTTTTTCTTATAAAATAGTATATAAAAAATTATAATAACAGAAATTATAATTTTTTTGTTTGTTTCATTTTTATTCTGAATACTATACTTTATACAATAAATAATACAAAAATTAAACAGGTTTCAAATTATCAGTCATTAAAATGTTTTCTATTTATTGTAAAAAACAAAAACAAAAACCAACGGATCCAGTGCCCTATCAGGCTTGACGCCCGGCTCCATTTGCCCCTTTTGTCCCTCCCTTTTAAAGGCCCTGTATGAATATATTGTTATATATATTTATTTATATTTACATTAATACTATGAATAAATAACATATATAATAACAAATATATAATAATAACAATAATATATAGATAATAACAATAATACGTAATAATAACATTAATAGTATGAATTGCAAATTCTAGCATTTAGTGTAATTATCTGTCCGCGTTTTCTATGCTATCTTTCTAACTCGACTTCTTCTGACTTTTGCTCTAACTTTCTTCTTTCTTCCTAAACTCACTTACTCTAGGTCAGCAAATCGGATGATAATGCTCTTTAATGAGCTGAATTCGTCTTTACTGGCCCAGGTATGTGGCTTCTATATGACAATTAGCCGAAGGAGGATAAACAACAATACATATATATATATATATATATATATATATATATATATATATATATATATATATATATATATATATATATATATATATATATTTATATATATATATATATATATATATATATATATATATATATATATATATATATATACACATATATATATATATATATATATATATATACATTTATATATATATATATATATGTATATATATATATATACTTTTGTATAACACTAATTACTTTAGATTAATTTGTAAATATATATATATATATATATATATATATATATATATATATATATATATATATATATATATATATATATATATATTGTTGTTTATCCTTCGGCTAATTGTCATATAGAAGGCTTCTATATGACAATTGGCTGAAGGAGGATAAACAACAATATATATATATATATATATATATATATATATATATATATATATATATATATATATATATATATATATATATATATGTATGTATGTATGTATATATATATATATACTTTTGTATAACACTAATTACTTTAGATTAATTTGTAAATGGAAAGCAAATATGTTCTTTTCTTTGATTTTATTTTTCTGGCTTTACTGACAAACGTCATAACACAGTTTAATTACCCAGTTCAAAAGTCATCGTCTCGTTATTCCTTCACTGTTTATCATGATAAAAAAGTAGATGGCAGCACAAACATGGTAGAAACACACAGAGATTTTAAAGATTACCTTGCCTGCATTACAGCTTGCTTTAATAAAGGTATAATGTGCAAATCAATTGACGTTGAAATTGTGGATAACAATAAATTTACTTGTCGGTTTTTCAATGACGATTCTCCTAAAATAAAACAAACTGAAGGATTTCTATTTATTTCTACAAAACCGGTATAATTAAGTTTATTGCAATTATTTATGTATATACAAACATGCATTTATACATACAAAAAACGTTAAAACAACCTTTAGACGAAACGCTTGGTTATGTCAATTATCCGATCAAAATGAAATTCAAAATAACGTGTAAAACAAATTTCCATTTAACTTTTTTCGACATCTATTCTTACGGTTAAACATAGAAAAAACATTTAGACTTATAAAACGCATGTAGAACATTTTTACATTTTAATCCATTAAAATTTTTTTTTTTTATATTTGTTATGAACAAGCAGAAATCATAAGCAAATGGATTTTTATCATTTTGATCAAACAGTAATTAGCGTTGGTTAAAACATAAGTATTCAGATTTAGCAGAGATCATGAGTATGACGGAGTTTTATTTCTATAGATGAACAGCTCATTACTAAAACCTTTATTCTTTTAACTGCGTTCAACAAAAACTGCAAGTCATGTCTAAAAGGGAAAGAGACAGGTATAAAAAAACCATCAGGCAGTACGAAAAAAGCCGAGAGAAAAAACGAGTTTATTGCCAGCCAAAATGGAGCAATTTAAATTTTTGAAAAAGGCTATTTGCTCTTTAGTGAGCTGAACTCGTCTTTACTGGCCCGGATATGTGGTCTCTATATGACAATTAGCCGGAGGAGGATAAAAAGCAATATATATATATATATATATATATATATATATATATATATATATATATATATATATATATATATATATATATATATATATATATATATATATATATATATATATATATATATATATATATATATATATATATATATATATATATATATATATAGTGCGAAAAAAGTACTAAAAGTACTTTTGTAACTAGATAAAAGTACTTTTTTGTACCTAGTTAATGTACAAAACAATTTTTTCAAGGCTAAGAGACAAGTTGTTGCAGGTTTTCGTCAGTTTTTTAATGACATATAATCAAAGCTTTTTAATATTCTGCATAGTGGTCAAACATCTTGAGAGATAATGTCAGGATGTTTATTGTTGAGCAGGATCCTTCAGAAGTTAAAAGCCAATAGATTTCTAAAGCTCTAACAAAATAGGGTTTTTTTAGTTAAACACTTTCAATGCGTTCTGAAAAACTGAGGAATAATGTCAAAATTATGGTTTGTGTACTTCAGGACTAAAATACTGAGTAATATTTTTCATGTAAATTATTTCCTCAACCTATTTTTTTATTGACTGGAAAAATCTCATAAAAGATTAAATGAGCACTAAAACTCTCAATGTTATTGTAAAACTATGATGTAGTGATTCAATTTTTAAAAACGATTGAAGGATTAAACAACCATTGATGCCAATAATGATGTCAACATTGATGCAACAACGGGTAGAGCGGATGAAACAAAAATAAGGAATGAGCTGCAACGTGTAGTGGGCATAGTTTCTTTTTTGGCAAGCAGAAAATTGGCATTCAGGGTTGGGGTCAAATACATTTGCTCAAATATAAATATACGTATGTATGTTCAGAAAAAAAACAAAGATTTTTTCACTACAATTTTGATAAAATGGTATACTAAATAGAGGAATGAAAACAAGTCTTTTAACTAATATTCCTTAAAAACAAATTTTTTAAGTTAATTAAGGGTTAAAAATGAAAAAATAAAGTGTTTTTAAAATAAAAGTGTTTTTTCAACTAGATTGACCGGTGTTGTTTTTTCAAAAAAAAAACGCCAGTAAATCTAGTTTACGGCATTTTTTATTGGAGAAATACAGTAATAAATACATTTCAATCAAATACAAATATTTAATTAAATATTATACAAATACAAATACGCCAATTTAGCCCATAATTATCAAATTCAAATACAATTTAAAATATAAATACGTATTTGATCGCAATCCTGTTGACGAGGTAATAATGAGACTTTCAGGGAAAAAATGGAAATTTCATTAACTTAATAGATTTTTGTCAAAATTCAATCCAGTAAAGGTGGAACATGTCACAAGGCACATAAATGGTCAATTTTGAAACCATTATCTTGTCGCTAGAGTTCAAAGTAAACTAAATACTGTTTTTGACACAGAAAATGACAAATAGTATTGTTAAGGAAGAAGAAAGAAAAATATAACTTAGAACCTTTTTTATACTGTAATCCTGATGTTGTCGTTTTGTAACAAACGGGAAATAAATAAATGAAAAAAAACCTTTCAGCGTTTTAGCTAAGCCGCTGGAAATTTTGACGAAGAACTTTTAGTTTTTACAAAGAACAACGGTTACATCAGCAGAATTTAATCTAATAAAAAAAATAACGCAATTCATTACTCAAATTTAGTTAAAGCTTCTTTTATAAGTAAAAAATCTCAGTAAGAAGTGCTTCAGAATTTTAGTCACCGCAAAATTATTGTAAAAAGGTATATTCTGTCGTAAAGATTAAACTCGCTTTCTCAAAGCAAAAGTCAACTCAAAGAAGCAGAACACACAGGAAAACTGCCAAAAGGTTTTTGAAAAAAATCTTTGGCAGGTTTTTTTGAAAAAACTGCCAAAATATTTTACAATACCTGTTGTATTTATTTTTAGACGTTTTTTTGAAACAGGTGACGTTTTTTGATATTTTGCACAAATCAAGTACCACGCTTATCTTCAAGAAAAGAAGCGAGAAGGTAATAAATAGAACTATTAAAATATAAATTATGAAACACTGTGCAATTGACAGTCTTTTTACAAAGCTGCTATAAAAATCTGATTGACATTCTCAACATAATATATACACAACGGCTGACATCAACGGTAACCGACGATATGTGTTGAGCGCAATCTTGAGAACTAATATTGAATACTTAATTGCTTCAAATAAATTGAATACTTAGTTTAAAAAATAAATTGAATAGTTAGTTGCTTCAAAAAGTCATTTTAGTCCTGAAGCCTTTATTTCTAAAAAAACTCAACTCGACCGTATTTTAGGTTTACTGTGTAAATCTGATCTTTCCATTCAGAAACGTCATTCTTCTTGAAGGTAAATACTCTTCTTGAAGATAAAAACGACAACAGAGTTGTATTATTAGTATAACGTTTAAGATAAAACACTTGGCTTAAGCACACTTCAATAACGTTGAATTTGTAGTAACCTTCCACTAAAACACAAGGTAGCTCATCAATATCAATATGAAATCTATATAATAAAACATAAATAACATAAACTTAGAATTTAAACAACCGTGCCTCAGTGATTAGAATTCTGGCTTGGAACCTTTTTTTTGTTTATTTGAGGTTAAATGTATACATTTAATCTGGTTAGAACCTATAGGTTCTAACCAGATAAGCGACATTAGTAAGGAAGGAGTAGTGAACGTCCTGGTTAAATGTTATTCACTTTAAGATTGCTAAGTCTTCTTGAAACACTTTAATACACTAAAAAAACAAAAAAAAAATTATCATTTAAAAGAGGTAAAACTTTAGATTAAATTTTAAATACGTAATAAGAATTTTAAAATTCTTATTAAATGTTATTATTAAATTTAAATGTAAATAAAGTTTATTTACACGTGTTGAAATATAATGCTATATATTAATATTAAATCTTATTATTAAATTTAAATGTAAATAAAGTTTATTTACACGTGTTGAAATATAATGCTATATATTAATATTAAATCTTATTATTAAATTTAAATGTAAATAAAGTTTATTTACACGTGTTGAAATATAATGCTATATATTAAAGATATGTGTAATGGTATCTTTATATTTTCATAGTTAATTCAAAATAAATAAAAAAAAAAACATAAAATGTTTTAAAAGCTATAATTTTAAGCTACATTTGCCACTTTTTACTAACTCATCGAAAAAAGTAAGAAGAAATTGCCAATTTTTAAAACCCCAAGAAACTAAAGGTTATTTCAAACAAAAATACTTTTTTACTTGTCGTATTACAAGCCATTAGAATAAGTTAGCGATTTTCTTAATGTACCAATAATGATTCAAAAAAGCATGTTTAAGATGCTGCTTAGGCTTCAGGAATAACTTTGTCAGTATAAGGGAGTTTGGTGTCTGCATTTTATGATGGCATCATAGAATGCCATTTTGATAATGTAATACAAGAATTTAGTTTTCTGGCATTAAGTGGCTTTATTTTGGCATTTTCAATAAGTTTAAATTATAATTTGTAAATATAGTATATAAATATAAAAAAGTCTAAATAGCTTTAAAACATTTTATGTTTTTTTTATTCATTTAGAATTAATCATGAAAAAATAAAGATCATTTTTTCTCTTATTTTTAATATATTGTTTTATATTTCAACATGTGTAAATAAATGTGTTTAAAATTTTTGTTATGTACTTTAGGGCTGTTCAGTATGCTAATTTGTTTTCAGGTTCAAAAATATTTTTTACTAAATTTTATAATTTGTCCTAAAGGTATCATTATTGTTGTTCAAAAATATTTTTTACTAAATTTTGTTATTTGCCCTAAAGGTTCCTCAAAGCCCCCAAACATTTGACAAGTCCCTAATGTTATTAAAAAAAAAATATTTAAAAATATGTCAACCTGGTACTCAAAAGAAGCAAAATCATTTAAAAATTACAAAAACAAAAAATGTTTTTTAAAAAAATTAAAAGTTTAGGTTTTTTTAAATAAAAACTATGTTTTTTAAACGAAAAATGGAAAAAAGGTAATATTTACAACATTTTTAGTAATAAGTTTTTTTAAGTTGTTTTTTATAAAAAATGAATCTAATTTTAAAAATTTTTATAAAATTTTGCTTCTTTTGAGTACCAAGTTGATATATTTTTAAATAATTTTTTTAAATAATATTAGGGACCTGTCAAATGTTTGGGGGCTTTGAGGAACCTTTAGGGCAAATAATAAAATTTAGTAAAAAATATTTTTGAACAACAATATGATAGTTGAATGGGAAAAACCAGAAACTTTTAATTGGTTTTATATTTAGATAGATGATAGATTTCAGTTTATAGAATGTGAAAACAGTAATAACTCAAAATGTTTATTTTTTTTGACT